ATGATACTTAAATATTCTTTATGGAAAAAAGCCTCAGTGAGTGCCATGAACCCAGGCTTCCCAAAGTTAGGACACACAGGCATCACCCACTGCAGCAGCCTGCAAAGCACCCTGGCATTTGCCAAACCACCACATACTTCTTTTTCTTCATCATCCTACTCTGTGGTCCCTTTTCCCAAAATGTGTTCAACCACATGTTTTCCTCTCTCTTTTGTCTCAGTGGCCATCTTTGGCCTACACATAAATGTCACAACCTCATCACTCACCTCCAAAGCGGGCAAAGGGGATGGACATCAACTTCTTTTCCCTAGACTTTTTCCAAAACCCTGCACATGGTTTCCTAACCTTAGGTCTACCCCAATCCCTCACGCACTCAGAGTTCCTCACTCAAGCCCTTGGCTTATCTCCCTGGTCCAGATGCCAGGGCTGACTCAGGGCTCGGGTACTGCAGGAGAGAGCTGAGCAGGGCAGAAGCTATGAGTGAAGACAATCAGCTGGTGGGCAGTAATCACCTGAGCAGGCAAGTGCCTCCAGGCAGGAGGAATCAGGCATTACCTTGATTTTGAAGTAGTTTGTAAACAAGCCTAGAAAACAGCTCTCACCCACGTACTCAAGTCAGTCTCTCCTGGTGCAGTTGGACTTTTCAAAGCAGAACAGAGTCAGCTGAAGGGACTAACAGACCCACCTGCACTCCAGAAAATATGTTAATTAGAGAACTAAAGCGTTCGCAGAGAAGGGAACTGTGAATCCACATCTTTTTGTGAAGAAAAAGGAACTGAGCTCACAGCCTGATGGCATATGCCAGCATTAAATCAGCAGTAGAGGCATTGAGGGCTCCTTCTCCAGACACACCATGAGAACACCTACCTTGTGCAGGTAGCAGAAGTGCACGTGATTTCTGGCACCCTGGGGTGTCAAACCAGACTGTAACCTAGTCCCAACACCACAAGCACTGAGATCCTGGGGGAGTCAGGAACTATTGACACTGAAGGATTTACCAAACTGCACCAAAGGAAGCTTGCAGCTCTGAATGACCTGCAGAGGAGTTTGAGGAAACAGCGTTTTGGGACCAGGTCCCATTCTTCAAGGGTACTTAAATGCTAACTAGAATTGTTTGCAATGGAGATAGTTGCCTACAGATTTTTCAAGATCTTAACCCTTTGTGCCTTAGACCAGCTAGAAGAGGGTAAGAGAAGTGAAGTCACTCAAGGCATTCAGGCCAGCTGCATACTAGGTGGGACACCAAGTTCCAGCCCTGGTCTCACCCTGGAGCATCAACAGCTCAGGTTGCCTCTGCCTGTTCTGCACTGCAAGGGCAGCCCTTACTCCAGCCTAAATTTTCAGTCCATGAAAACTGACCGCAAGGGCGCAGCAGCACTGTGGGAAATCCTGAAGATAATATTTGACTTGTGCTATCTAGAGAGAAAACACTTGAAGTAGGAATGTGTTTACCATACTAAAACAGTTCCATTATAATGACAAGCATGATGTTTCCTCAGAAGTCTTATGAGAGTTCTATCTGCTGTAGCTCTCCTTTAGATGGAAGTTGGATGTAAAACAAGCATATGTTTCTTGTTACAGTGCTGCAAAAAATTCATTGTTTCTGGGTTGACTGATTCAAAATTTAAAGAAATCAGCCTGCCATAACAAACATGATCTTCAGCAATCAAAATGTATTCTTATATTTCACTGTGTATTTTATAAAAGAACTTCAAGTGAAGTGCAGGTTCACTTAAAAGTGATGAAAATTAATTCAAGCTAAACCTGTCATCAAACTGCAAGATTAGCAATATCAGTTCAGACTCTCTCTTAATTTGACATGCATAATTTAGATGTGCCAAGATGTTGTGAACTCAAACTACAAAGAGACCTCAGTAATTTATGGAATCTGTATAGAATTTATATCCAAACCCACTACATTAATCAAGATGAAGGTTTTAAAGTCCGATCAGGAAATGCAAGATGCACCATTGCCTTAAGCGTTATGATATGGCCTTAAATTGCAGGTTTGCATTTTTCACAGTAGGAACCCCTTTCTCATTTAGGAATTCTTTTCAATCCTCTCCAGTGCACAGCTCAACCTTGCTTTCTGCATTCCATACAGGCCGCAAATTTATCAGCTTCTTTATAAGTATTTCTGCACTTATCATCAGAGGAATAAGGATTGTGAGGTCTTTTTCAAATCTGTGAGAATCCCTCCGAGATTTGCTTCTGGTACCACCACCTGTAGTATCCATTGTGCATATGGATGAATACTGGCACTTCCACCCAATTCTTCAGAACAGATCTACTGAACCTAGACATGATTACTCTGCACTTCTGCAGAGGCAGCCCCAAGCACCACATATTAAGCATTTAGCAAAAGACTTAATTTCTGTAACCAAGTGTCTTGCTCAGTGTTACAAAAGAACCTCATGGCAGCAGCAGAAAGAAACCCCAGTTCTCCAGACCAGAATGCTCTTTCCTTCATCATCAGACTGTCTTTTCATCTGTGTTAATTTGACCCCCTTTACTGTTATCAAGCTTTTCCTTAAAATGAGGCCGTTTTGCAGATAGCAAGCTCATGGCTGCAGAGTCTTGGATCATTCACAGAGGAGGAGACAGCCTGCACAAGGAATATGGCAGAATCCCTCGGAGCACTGCACAGGTAGGATGGAAGCATGACACAGAAATTACAGGTCTGATAATCACCAATTTTTGCAAGTCCCATCCCAGATATTTTTAAGGATAAACACAAGGATTCAAAAATGGAAATCACACTGACCCTCCAAGTTGTCACCAGCAGGATTCAGATCTTTCACACAAGAAAACTTATTTCTTCTAGCCACAGATTAATACTAGTAGCTCAGTGTGCACAGAAAGGAACACTGGAGGGTAGCACAAGCATCCAAGTCTCACATCACAAATTCTAGATAAGAGTTGACAGTCTGTAACACAAAGCTGCTACAGTTCCTGGTTCCCAGGCAACAGATACCCCTCTCTTACACCCACCTCCTTCCTCCCTGTTTCTATTTTTAGATTCTCCTAAATGTCTTAAAGAATACACATGCATCCCTGCCAAAGACAAATACATTTTTCTTACTAATATTCTAAGATACAACTAAACAGTTCATTAAACTTTTTCATAATACTTCAGCAGACTACTGAACATTACGGGAATTTAAGTTAGAGATGACCAATCCAAGCTGGAAGCATCTGAAAACACATCTGAACGAAAGGTATCAAAGAACCTCAGCCTCAGTGAACAGGCAAGCTCTTAACATGGCTTCCTTTGGCATCACTTGGAAAGACTCTTTTATTAACTTCTACTACTCGCCTTTGACTCTTAAAACATTAAATTTGAGCATAAAGAGGCCAGTGATTTCAGGTGTGATAGGCCAGTTGGAACATGGCTGCTTTGCACTCCACTCAAAGGTTAGCCTGATGCCAACAAAACCCTTTTCTCTAAGCCATGTAATTTTTGAGACTTTTGAACCACATTCATCTCAATCCAAACCTATGGTCAAATAAGCAGCTGCTGTCTTTCTAAAAATTCTAGCTTTTGTAGAAGTTGGACCAGCTATGCCTTTCAAGTGCTCCTTCCATTAGATAATTGTTTTCTAATATTATCAAATAATGAAATAGTTCTAATTCCATTAGAAAAATTAAGTATTTAATAATTCCATAAAAAGAAGTGTGAAACCTCAGGCCCCATTTGTCTCTTGGAAGAAAATTAGGAAGTTCTCAAAAAAGTATTAAATTATGTGTGCTTTAATCATAACATTTTACTATAGGAGATGAAAGAAACCTCACATTCTTAATATAATCTCCCCCCAGACTTTTAAGGAATATCAGTGATGCAGATTTTTTGCAGCATTTTGGTTTACCACATTAGACTGTGAAATTTTGAAATAAATATTTCACCCAGGGATCACTGTATCCATCCTACAGATGTAAGCAACTGAAGCAAGCAGAGGAAGGTTAATAACAGAGTGACGAGCAAAGCTAAAAGACAGTTTCCATTCTAACTTCTAATCCAGTATTTATGCAGTCATATTAATTCAAAACTACAGTTTGCTCCATATTTATGTAATTTTGCTTTTTTAAAAAACTGCTCAGCTAGAGCAGCTATTTAGACAATGGATTCTTGCAGTTGGCAGACAAGCATGCGCAACAAAAACCCCCTGAAACCTTGGGACTATCACACAAGATTGTGTACTTCACACAAAAGGCTCTATGATAGGCTTTGAATTTCACATGTAACACCAAAATCTGGCCAAAACTAACACTACCATTAATCTATGGAAGACAAAACTCAAGGTCTTAAGCCAGCAAGGGTCAGTATTTTCTGGATACAACTGAATTCCTTCTGAATTCTTTTTGAGCAGAGCCTGAATTCTAAGTGTATCTCTAATGACAATAAGCCTCACAGTTTAAAATACTTGATACTAATCACCGTAAACAACAGCATGCTTTAGGCCATGAATAACATACATGGGAATTATGCTGTTGAAAGCACATCAGCATATCACTTTTACCCTTTAAAAAAATAAAGCCTCAAGAAACTGAATTGAGACAGTCATTATGATTTATATGACAACAGTCTTTTAAGGATTAACAATGTATATGGTATAAAAAGTTAGTAAAACATTTCCTGATTTTGTGATTAAGGAATCATCTATCTTTTCCATTATTTTAATACATGTGCTTAGATGCACAAAGTATTACATTCTACTGTCTCGTGATGCCATCAAGCACCGGTCCAGTCTTGTTATCTTGAGGGATAAGCAATGATGGAAATAAGCAACTCCATTTTAATTTAACAGAGGAACTAGCACCAATACCCTTGTGTTTCTTGCCTAACTCTGCAACTGCAGAAAACAGCTGTACTATGAAAACGGTAAGAATCAAAAAGCTGGAATGAAGGCTGCATACCCCTAAGCTAATATATAATGTATATGCTCATAGGACAGATCTGAACATTTGCTTGTTAACATTTACAAAGAACTCTTCCAAGTAGATTTTATACTTTGACATGTTTATTTTAGTTGGATGAACAGATTCAATGAACAAACTGAAACAGTATTCCTCAGCTTGACATTTGCCTCCCTGGAGACTTCTATAACCAAATGTTTAAAAATATCAGAAATACGTGGATATTTGCAAGAAGCAGTTCAACAATTATTTCTTGTTCCATGCTTCTTTTTCAAGTCTTTCACGGATTACTTCTTTTAGGTATGGTTCAAGATAGTGGTTATCCTGAAAAAGAAAAGAATATATTGAAACTTATAGGAAGTCCAGTAACTTCTCAAGTCATTCCTACAGATTACTTGTCTCTTGTTCCTCTTCTGATTTGATTAAAGCCCAACCTAACAAGAAAATAAGAAATCAAACGTAACTTACTCTGAAAAGGTAAACTTTGCATCTGCCAAACCTGCAATGACAAGTTCTTTACTGTAACAACCACTAATTCCTAATGCCTCGCCAACATTAACAAGCAAAAGTGATGCTTCCAGCTATACCTTTAAAAACAATGTTCTTTTAGCAGATACCCAAAAGTACAAGACCCACTTGAATTAGTTCAAGTCCAACTATAATACTCTGGAGAAAATAGTTTTGAACTTAACTTCTAAACAGCAGTGTAAACTTGGATTTGATGGAACACCCTGACCTTGTTTAATACTGACAAACCAAACCGCTGCTTAAGGAACTATGCAACCAGTTATTCAATGCAGCGGTTACCTAAGTATGACCAATAAGACCACAAGAAACAGCTTCTGCTCATACAAACATAACACCCTTACATTATCCTATAGTCAAAAGTTTAGTGATAAGATTCCTCTCTGCCTGGTAGTTTGGAGAAAGCCAAGACAGACAGTAATGCAAAGTCTGTGAATTAATCCACTACGAAAACCAACATTCAGCTACATCTGAAAAGGAAGGTGTAGTTTGTTTTTCAAATTACAAACCCAAACTTATTTTAATGAAAGCTTTCCCTTTAAATTATTCTTCCTTGGCAACTTCATGAGTAAAAGCTTTGGCTCGAGATTTTCTATAAAATTAAGAAATTTATCAGAAAAGCAAGAAACCTTTTTTAGAATTTCCAAGCTAGTTACATATTTCTTTATCTGACAGAAATTTTTTGTCTGAATACAACATGCTAGGGCTCTGAGCTGTAGTTTTAAGCTTGAGAAACTGGTTAAGTTTTAGTTAACTAAGCTGCAGTTAAGGTTGAATCATCTTGAGAAAAATTTTGCAATTTCCACTGCAAAACAGAGACTTTTAAACAGCGACCAAAAGTCCCTTTTTTTTTTTTTTTCCCAGAGGTATCCCACAAGACACACACTCATTTATTCATTATAAAGCACACATAAGCATGTATCTCCCCAGAGACTGAAAATCCCAAAGCCTAATCAGAGCAGTGACATTTAAGCATTTCCTCCACCTTGGAAACATTCTCTACACATACCTCTTCATACTTCACCCACTGGTCTTTTGGAAGGATCTGATGTTTCAAGCTTAAATCCAGTGCTCGCTTTATACGAAATATTCTTTCATTGTAAAGATGTTCTGGAAGTCTCTTCAGTGCTTCTTTTACATCATCATCTTCATACAATGTATCATCTCGCATTAATCCTGTACCAAGAACATTTTACAGTATTACTGAATAAGTGTTCTCAAATTTAAGATTTAGGATTGACACAGGCATTTCTACGTAACACGGGCAAAACACTTCCAATGCAAAATTACAAAGAAACCCCAAACCAATTCAGGAGAAGAGAACCACTAATTGGCCAGAGAACAAATTCTAAACACTAGTTTTCACATACTTTATTACTTGAGTTTACTCCTTTTCTCAAGGAAGAATAGGGAAATTGGTATTTAATTCAATGTATTTCATAAGGTTATACATACATATATATAACAATAACTCTTCTGGGTCTCAGAGATGTACTTATGTTCATCTAATGTTATATCCGTATTTAAGACGACTGTCTAGGTAAAGGGTTTAATAGCTCTGAATCCATTAGAGTCAGTCAATCACAGATGTGACTACTCCAGTACTAAAGAATTATTCTCTAAACTCCGCTATGCATAATAGCTAGATCTCCACTATATGAAGCTATGGAAACCTGAAGCTAGATGTTTGTGCGCGAGTTGGGTCCCTCCCACGCCTCCCCAAATCAGAATTACATCAACTAAATATTCAAGCAAACCTGCTTTAAGTTTTAGTATTAACAACATAGGACAAAGTGTTGCTTCTGTCACATTCCAAGATTGATGCAGATTACAAGAGCATACCTACTGATTTGTGGTTAAAGGTTTTGATCTCATGTGACTGAGTTCACAGTAGCCTCCCAATAAAACACAGATTTCTCGAGCCATTTATTCTTGAATTTAGTTTTGTAATTTACTTCAAAGGCACACAGAGCACAGCTGCTAGTTTCATCACTAGCTTAAACTTGGTTTCTCCTCAGTTTCTAGTCGCATTCCCAGAAAACCAGCAAAAAGTGTTAATGCCTTTATGAACTTCATAAAAAGAGGGACAGATATAACAAGAGGGACTAAGCACTGAACATCTGGAGGAAAGACCTAAGATTATTCCTCTACAGCTGTCTCACAATTTTTTTTCTAACTTCTCCACAGCAGGTATGTTAACTTTCTTTAAATAATCTGTTCATATTATGCTCATCTGTAAATTACAGCCTCTGAATATTCAGATTCTCTTGTCTTTCAAGAATAGTTCTGCCATCTAAATAGTTGAAACAAACTTGGTAACCACTCGGAATCAATTGAAGACAGTTATCAAGGCAACCTCCTCTACTTAAGGAAACATTATTTTTCACCTACCTCACCACTGTGCAGGCCAGACACCAAGTGAAGTTATGGCGATACAAAGGGCATAACTAACTAAATCCTATTTTTTCACTTTGGATATTTTGCAGAAGTATTGAAGACAGACTGATATCAGTGGAAACCTCTCCATCTTCAAGGGTAGCCTTTGGGTTAGAAAATACTGGGCAGTGAAAGTGACTTGGTGGGAAAAGATAAATAATCAAGCTTTCAGGACTGCTTTGTGAAAGTTTTTCCAACTGCTACAGATTAACCTTAGCTGTTACAAGTTATTTCACTGAAAACAAGAGCAAACACAGAAATAACAAACCCCCCAGCAATTCATTACTAGGTAGCAATCATGATGACTGACACTATTGGTAACTTTTTCTCTGAAAAAGCAGTAGCTAATTTTTATCAAAATGACTTAAGCCAATCTGCATGTACATACGACAGTTGTGGACCATAACTAGTTTGAAGACTGTTACATTTGCAGTGGTTTTAAAACTCAATGAAACACTTACCATATTTGTTGAATCCAGCTGCATTATAATACCACTTGCGAATCTTGTCTAACAGGCGACCACCTCCTGCAACTGAATATGACCATCATCAGTTGCAGAGCAAGACAAAATTCAACATTTTTTGATCTCTGTTTCTCTAAATTATTAGACTGCTTTAAGACTTGGAAAAATACTAACAGTTCATTGTCAGAGGCAGCATCAACACTTAGGCTCCAAACTCTTACACTCAAGCTAAAAACATGTTATACTTAGAGCAAAACCATCATGCTTTTCAAATAATTTATCTAAGTTCCACAGCTCTCACTACAGTTAATGCAATTTTAAGGTCAGCATATTAGTATGTTGTTAACCGTCTGCTCTCCTCTCCAGTTACTTAAATACTATTCCAGAGACTCTTTTTTTCAAAGAGCTGCCAAAGTCAACTGGAAAGTCAACACTGAAACCTCAAAAAAAAATCATTGACTTTAAAAAGAAAAAAATCAAACGCACCACACATTGAACATTTGGCTTTTCTTAACTGTAATTCTGGATAGCAGAAGGGGGTTTACATGTAATTAAGTACAATGCAGTAACAAATACCATTAAAGTAACTCTGCAAACCCAAAACCAGCACAACAGAGGCAATGCAGCCAGGGCAAGCTATCTTTCATGACTGTTGTCTTACTAAGTCACCCCGTAAAAGCAGTGCTACGTGTGACACCAGTCCGCCATTAGCACACTACCTCATCAGGCCTTACTCCTTCGTACTTTAGGACTCGAGAAGGAATAACATGAGATCAACTAGACTGCAGTCAGTATCCGGGCCGGAAAGCGATCCCCGAGGCCTCTCCGGAACAGCCCAAAGGCTCCTCCAGTGCTCCCTAACACCCTCTGCCCTACTGCTCCCAGAAAACCTCAGTGTATCGGAGCCAGGCTCCCACCTCTGAGGCCCAGACCGAAGGGCCACCGATCTGGAGGGGCGGCGAGGAAACCCGCCCGCCGTGGCCGGGCCAGGGGCACATCAGCTGCAGGCGCTGCCCCCGCCAAGGGCACACGGCGCACACCGTTCACCGGCTCCCCATCTCCCCATCACGGCCGTCTCGCCCCCTGGACCTGGACAGGACGAGCCCAACACCGCAAGCACGACGTGCACAGACGTGCACGGCCGCATACAACCACCCCCAACTGCCCACCGCCGCCTCACCCGGTGCCCTCGCCGCCATCTTGACCTCTGCGCGCCGCGCTGCCTTCTGGGTAACCCGCGGCGTCCCCGGGGGGCGGGGGCGGGCGCGCCAATGC